CACACACACACACACACACACACACACACTCATATACATATACAGACATTCGGACACACACACACATAGACACGAATAGGCATTCAGATACACACACACACACACACATAAGCATTCAGATGTACACACACATACGCATATAAGGATGAAAAATGCAGCAAGAACCAAAAACTGGGCATTGAAAGTTCTCCCCAAACCCTCCCCAGTCACCCCTCATAGTGACTGCGATGTTTTTCTTCAAACAGGATCAAATCCGTCCACTTCCGAGATACGGACGAAAGAGAACCACTGGGCTTGAACCCTCAATCAAACCAATGGGACAAGGACCCACCAATCGAAGATTCGAAACAACTGGACAAAAATACATCTCCTCAAGTCCTCCCTGGCCCAACGGATCACAATCGAAGGGCTCAGCCCTTGAGGGACCCCCTATCCTAGTCTTTTTTTCTCTCTCTCCTCCTACTCTGGATCTTGTGGAAGTGTTTGTGTGTATGGCATGTTATGCAATGTGCAGGTGCAGTGATATTTCCCTCTGATGATCCGGCAAGTGGCGTTGGTGAAAGACGTTTTAGGAGCAGCCACACCCTCGCTGCGTGAAGCATTTGCCTACCTTCTTGGTCCTGCAATCTGCTTTGGCGTGATAGCTTCCTCAGTACAAAAGCTCCACTACATCCATTAAATATCTGCATGAATGCTAACGGAGAACGGATGCTAATATAGATTCCCCGCCCACTTCCTCCGCCATTCTTCCTCCTCCAATTAGCCGTTGCCAGCACCCTCCTCCCTCCCCCTTGCCCTTAGAGGATGGTGTAGTCACGGAGAACCAATTATAATCGAAGAGTCAACTGAGTCAAGGGAATAGGGAACACAAGTACTTGAGATAGGAGTGATCATTGGACAGAAACATGGAGGATATTGGCAACGGCGGATTTTTTGGTCTCTGGCGAGGAAAGAAGGGTGCAGCTATGACCAGCATGTTGACAGACTGGATCACTCATATATAGTCAGTAGTGGTCCTGATACGATTCATTGTTGGGACACTCAGTAAGATAGAAGATCTATGAAGTACTCTAGTCCGTCTTGCTTTTTCCAACTATTATACTAATATCACAAACTGCTTAGGAGGGGGCATATGGGACAGGCTTCACGATCTCGCTTACTTCTCCTGAGGGAGAATACTGCCGTGAGGCTTGAGCTGTGAATATGGGATATGTGGATAATTAGGAGATGTCATTAATGGGACAAAGGAGATATGGGGATGATACCTGGGACTATGACTTATTCAGAGAAACAAATGGCATGGGTATGACAGAGAGAAAGAGGGGGGATGAGTAGCCGATGACGACCGTCAAACAAGGATGAAGAGGGTGAGTTTCCGAGGATGACGAAGAACGTGGTGGCGAATTGAGAAGGACGATCATTTATCGATAGTGGCTCAGATAGGGTTCCTCGCAGGGATACACGGTGGAATACAGACCTGTGTTGTGTCCTGGTTCGTCTTCCTTTTCCACTATACAGAATACTGACATCGTGAAGTAAGTGAGGAAGAATCGTTTAGGGAGGAACTACTACCAATGACGGAATGAAGGCTATTCCCCGATATCATGGGAGGAGGGTGAAGAGACAGCCTGCAGGCAGCATCTGGTGGCGAATGACTACGACTATACATAGCAGGATATTGGATTCACGAATGACCATAATTAGGGAATAGGTGTATAGTTAGGAAATATCGCCAAAGGAATGGGGGGAGGGCAGAGCAGTTGCCTGAAGCAAGGACTTAAATAGCAGAAACAGATGTAGCATGAGAGAGGCAGAAAGAAGGGTGGATCTTCTTCTTCTTCTTCTTCTTCTTCTTCTTCTTTTTCGTAGACGATATCTTTCTGCATCAGACTAGAATGATATGAATTTACACAGAGATCGGGATTACCATTGAGAGATTGAACTTTCACGGGTGATCGAACTTGTGGGACAGTTTTTGTTGTGTTAAAATGGGCTGCCGATTCCACGGGTACAGTTGGGACCAATTTCAATTGGTGAAGTAGATGGCATACGGATCATATGATGGGAAAGGGAGCGTACTTGTGTAATTGTTAATCGGTCCTGAGCTATACTCCTCTCTACCGCTCTTTCTAATTCCTTTTCCCTCTCTCTCGTTCTCTTTCTTCTGTCTTTTGTCTTTTTACCTTCTTCTTCTGCTCTGTTTTGCTTATTCTTTCTTCTTCTTTTTTATTTCTTCTTCTTCTTCTTCTTCTTCTTTTTTCCTGTTATCTTTTCTCTCTGTCTCTCTCTCTCTCTCTCTCTCTCTCTCTCTCTCTCTCTCTCTCTCTCTCTCTCTC